AGATATGTTAAATAAATATGTTAAATAAATATGTCCATGTTAAATAAATATGTTAAATAAATATGTTCAGGTTAAATAAATATGTCCATATTGTTAAATTAATATGTTAAATAAATATGTCCAGGTTAAATAAATATGTCCATGTTAAATAAATATGTCCAGATTAAATAAATATGTCTATGTTAAATAAATATTTCCATGTTAAAAATATATGTCCATGTTAAATAAATATGTTCAGATTAAATAAACATGTCCAGGTTAAATAAATATGTCCACGTTAAATAAATATGTCCATGTCAATAAATATGTCCAGGTTAAATAAATAGGTCCATATTGTTAAATAAATATGTCCATGTTAAATAAATATGTCCAGGTGTAATAAATATGTCCATGTTAAATAAATATTTCCAGGTTAATAATCCAGTGTCTGGGTGTGTGATTCTTAAAGGGAGAAGTTATAAAGTCTGATGGCCACAGGCAGGAATGACCTCCTGTGTCTTTCTGTGGTGCATTGTGGGGGATCAGTCTTGTACTGAATGTGCTCCGGTGTCTGACCAGCACACTGGGTGTGGGAGCTGCTTTGGGTGTAGGTGTGGGAGTCAAGCTCCACCCCGATGATATCACTGGCCTTGTGGATCAGTCTGTTGAGTCTGTTGGCGTCCACTACTCTCATAATAATAATGACTTTAAGTGTAAAGCAGACAATCATCACATTTCTGTCATGCAGTTCACACAGAGCAAAACAAAAGCTGATCAACATAAGAGGTATTCCTCTATGATTTCATCATTTCATGTTTAGTCGAGAGAAGCACTCTCCCAGCAGTTTCTCCTCCTCTGAGGCTTCAGATAGTTTATGAACTCTCTATGGATTTCCTCTGTCAGGGTAGAAGAGGGAGGGGCCTGAGTGGTTTTTAGGTTTAATGGGATTTGTATTCTTACAAACTGTCCCTTTCCGGCCGTCCTGATTTGGTGCATGCAGTCATACTGAATATGTCTGAGTGGAGAAAGTCACATATGGCAGAACAGTGTAGTAGTACTTTAGCCAGATGACACGGCAGAGGTTCTTAAGCTCAGCTGTGTAGGGAATCTTGAAATTCAGTGTTGGCCAACATGTGAATGAAAATGAAACCGCATCAGCCAGAGGTACCGATCATCAGGATCATCAGAGTTAGGCAGAAGAAAATAGGTTTCCAACAACGTATCTCTGCTAGTTCTAAAAAGCCTCCTCATATGAAAGCAGAACATTTCCGCCTTGTTCATGTGTCATCCTGTGCGTGGTCCTTAACTGGCGTCCACAGGTTCTTGTTTTTACCCACCGTGCACTACAGACGGACACCTGAAGCTATCTCACAATGAGCACACACATCATCAACGCAGTGTTCAGTATGAATAACCTCTCAATGACGTCAGGACCAGGAGCTCACTCAAAAGGAAAGAATACATACACAATTAAAAGGAAGAATAAAAGTGTATTTTTATATTATATATATATAAATGATATTGTTGTCTGCGACCTCTCTCCCCTACTCCCCCTTTCTTTGGCCCTCATCCCTTTCCTGATCAACTATATCACCATTATTTCAATCTGCTTCACTTTCTCTAACTGCCTTGTGTGTTGTCTGGTTAGCTAGCAGGTTATTTCTCTTATCACTAAATAAAGATACAAATAAAACATGGATGCCTCCAGGAGTATCTTTGTTTTCTTAGCTAATACCAGATGATAACCAGTGGAGATTCTATAGTCCAAACAGTGTTCATCACCTTTATGTTATCAATCATAGTTACCATCATCAGCATTTCAAGGAGACACTTCATCCTTCTCGTTTGCTCAAATGTTTTGCTTTCTTTTTTTTGCTCTCATATGGATGCTTCCTCTTCATTCTTCTGTGACTTCGGAAAACAAAGGTTTTCACAGGAATAATGCATGCAACGCTTAGCAGGGCAATGAGAATGAGTACTGTCAAATGCCGCCGCCAGGGGGCTCTCAATCAATACTATAATTACAAAAGATGACTTCGAGGCTAGCGGGGAATCATGGGAGTTATCTCTGCTTTTTGAGGTAATGTAAGAACTCTAAAAAACATGTATAACATATTTTAATGTAAACATTGTCATAAAATTATACATATTGTACATTTAAATTAGATTAAGAAAATAACTGGCAAACTGACAAATCAACAGGTAAGTAAAAAAAATAAATTCACAATTACCCCCACAATTATCGACTCAACGAGATGATGAGCGATCCAGATATGGGTCCATAACAAGAGTAAGATCCCCACCATTACTAGATTGGTCTGTGAGCAAGAACATGTTTATAAAATGAGGATGAGTCTGTATTCAGACACATTAACCAATGTCAAGGGTAAAGAGTATAACCCTACCACCTGCCTCTGTATCTGTGATCGTTTTATGGATGAAAAGTGTACCTTCTTTAGTAATATAACCGCACACATAACATGGTCATACCATGCTATGGTCCACACCTCAGCTTAATATATTCCTTCTTGTTTAGGTGAGTTTCTTAAGGGACGTGTTTTTAATATGCCTTACCACTCTTTACAGAGTGATTCAGGCCTGAAACATTCCATGTGATCAAACTGAGCCGTTTCCCCTTCTTCACTGGAGTTACATTATCCTGCATTATTTATTAAGCTAAACAAAAAGGCATAATAACCCCCAGAAGTGTGACAGAGTATGTGTACAGTATACAAGTCCTGACCCAAACATACAAAAACAAAAAAAATATATAGAAAGAACATTAGCCTGGATATGCATGTGAGTTATCAAGCTATCATTAGCTGCCTTCAGAATGTCACTAACTTTAAAGAGATCTGAATATTTAGCCCACACCAAGAGGTAAACAAAGGACTGGGAACAGAGTGGTTAAAGATGTAATCACTTTCAGTTCCAGTCAGCAGCAGCACCGTGCTCTCCATCCCGGTGTCCTCTGCATCGTTGTTTCTGCATGTACCAAAGTGAAACTCAGCTAACTCCTTAGCCTTCATTAGTCTGTAAAAACAGTCTCTTTGAAAGTCACCAAAGGGGCTAATAAAGTGTATCGTAACTCTCTGTTGAATGCTGCTCAGCGTTTGGCGACCTAAGGGGCTGAAGTCAGGGAAGACACGGATCCATCCGAATGTCGATTGTCTGGCAAATTTCCATCTTAGTGGATTGTAGGATTGTATTGTAATAGCTTCCAGAAAAGTAGCATCAGGCGATGGAGGACTTGTTTCAGGCAGGTCCGTTTCCCTTTGTTTCTTGTCCTTAGTAGATCCTCAAGTTGGACTTCATACTATCTTAGAATGTCAAACTATTAATACAGTTCTAAAAGGTATTTCAACATGCAGGAACTACTGGGGCAAACTCACTATTGAACCATCACCCCAGAACAGTCTTCAGTCTGTGGTTGTAAGTGTCTCTCTGGATCTGAGTCGCTCCTCAACAGTCCTCTCAGTCTGCCTGTTTAAAATAAGTGTTCATTTTTTGACACTTTGAAGCAGAGGTGGGACAAAGTCATTGTTTTACAAGTCAGTTTTTAGTCTCAAGCCTTTGGTCACAAGTCCCAAGTCAAGTCCTGACCTTTGAATTTCGACTCCCAGGCAAGTCATTATCTCTCTTCACCAAATGAAATGCCATTTTAACAGAGTAATAATCTGTTAGATTTATACAAACTATTATTGCCAGTAATATGATTTTATTTAGCCTACTTCTTAAAAGACAAAAACAACAACACTGTGGCTGACTGTTTGACTTATTTTTTTCTACATTCTGTTTTTTCTGTGTTTAACTGTTTCGATGGATCAGATCACGGATTTGGATCATTTCATTAGATTAGGTCAAGACAATGAGCATTAAGGAAAAATACATTTGCTAACCTTCATTTTTTTTTTTTTTTTTAAAGGTAGTAGTGCCCAGTCCACCCCTGCTCCCCCTTTTTCAGTGTGTGGGCAGACGTTCCCAGACTACAGCAGGCTGTGAGATACATGACCTCTGTTAATGTTCTGATTGTTGATAAATGTAGACACGGTGAGAGAGAATGGAGACAAGTCGAAACTACAGCCTGAACAGATGACCTGAGTCCCCGAGCATGAAGACTACGGGTGCGTTCAAATTGTCATTTTTGTTTAGGAAGGTTCCTAACTGAGTGAAATGAAGCATTTAAGTGGCGGCCATGATAAGAGCCGTTCAAATTCCCTAAAAGCTAAGGAAAGGTGGGTCAATGCTTCCTTCATACCCTCCTTTAGCATAGGATACACTGGACCATCCTTAACCAAAGGAGATGAGATATACCGCCCCACAATTCCTTTCGGCCGCAACATTTAAAGCGAGTCGCGCATCCGACCGATCACGAACATTAACGACGATCGTAAAGTGACACAAATCATGTAAGGGATAAAAAGAAAAGAGACATTTTTATCCAGATGTTTTATTCAACATATTTGTGCAGTTGTACATTTGTATGCTTAAAACATTATGTAGGCCTATATCTTGCATAAATGTAACGATGAATTTCATACAATCATATTTATGTTGATGATTTATGAGTGGACAGGAAGGTGATGGGTTCACTTTTGTTACTTGTAGCCTGGTAGCCTATATTGCTTTTATTTCAATCCCAACCTTGTGTTGATTAGGATTATTTCACCGGCAAGAAGGCACAGGGGAATGTTTTTTAGATGATCTTTTAGTAGTCCATTTTCTGAACATTGTAGTTTCCCCACAGCAGACCAACGTCATTAACCTCCACCGGCCCATCACATTTAATTACTTCGCCTAGTGGAAATGTGGTCGGATTGTCAGAGCAACGCAATTGTCTTTCCTTAAATCCTTTATGAATTCTCCTAACATCTTTCCTTGACCTCATGACGTTTTCCCCGGGGTTAAGGTAAAGTGGATAGTGACGGGAGATAGGAGGGACAATTCGAACGCACCCTAGGTCCTTATGGATCATGGACTGTGTTGTGTTGTGCAAAAAGGAAACAGGTGCGCATGATGGCTGGCGTTCCGGTGTGTATGTTTATTAGCTCGCCCCTGCAACATGCAGACAGCAGAGGAGCAGCAGGTACACCAACACACTTTAAACGCAGCATATTTTCATGAAAATACTGAAAGACGTAGATCTTAATCCCACAATATTCTGTGCACAGTTGACTATATTTCCATTATCAGACTCCCTGATTCCAACTGTATCTTTTATAACCATTGAAAGTATTTTCTAGTCATTAGGCTCAAGTCCAAGTGAAGTCACAAGTCATTGGTGTTGAATTCCAAGTCGAGTTGTAATTCCTTCATGATTTTGTCAAATCAAGTCCAAAGTCATCAAATCTGTCACTCTGATTTGGAGACGGATCTTCAACACACTTGTGTTTTCTTAACTGAGAGCGCCAGAGGAAACTTTTTTCACACACACTGCAGCTGAAGGGTTTCTCACCTCTGTGGTGTGCCATGTGAAGTGTCAGATAAGAATTCAGGGTAAATCTTTTACTGCAAAGAAAGCAGCTGAAGGGTTTCTCTCCTGTGTGGACCAACATGTGTGAGTTCAGATGTGCTTTATAGTAAAACCTTTTACTGCAGAGAGAGCAGCCAAATGGTTTCTCTCCCACATGCGCAATCATGTGCGTGTTCATACTTCCTTTTCGATTGAACCTTTTACCGCAGTAGGAACAAGTGTAGGGTTTCTCCCCAGTGTGAATTTTCTCATGTGAGATGAGATGCTTTTTCTGTCGAAATCTGTTTCCACACTCAGAGCAGATGAAGGGTTTCTCTCCAGTGTGACCCAACATGTGTGTGGTTAGATGCCATTTCCGGTTAAATCTTTTATCACAAACAGAGCAGCTAAAGGGTTTCTCTCCTGTGTGAAGTCTCAGGTGTCTGGTCAGATCATGTTTCTTTTTGAATATTTTACCACACTCAGAACAGGTATGTGGTTTCTTATCAGTTTGTGATCTAATATTTTCAGTATTTAACCCTGACTGATGTTTTCTGGTCTCTTTCCAATCATCACTGTCATCAGTCTCAGCTTCTAAAGAGTCTTCAGTCTCGATATGGGTCTCTGGTTGTGTATGTCTCTTTGGATCTGAGTCCCCCTCTGTTTCTGCTTCCGTTTTCTCCTCAGTTTGGTTTTGAAGATGTGCATCCTGACCTCCAACACACTTGTGTCTTTTTAACTGATTGGGCCAAGAGAATCTTTGGGCACAAACAGAGCAGCCGTAGGGTTTCTCTCCTCTGTGATGTGCCATGTGAAGTGTCAGATTACACTTATGTTTAAATCTTTGACTGCAAACAGAGCAGCTGAAGGGCTTCTCTTCAGTATGAACTACCATGTGTCTGGTCAGACTGTCTTTAAGGTGAAATTTTTTTCCACACTCAGAGCAGCTGAATGGTTTCTCTCCTGTGTGAATTCTCATGTGTTGGATCAAACGACTTCTGACTTTAAATAATTTCCCACACTCGGAGCAACCATATGATTTCTTATAATTTCTCAAGTTTTCCACAGCGTTTAAACCTGACTGATGTTCTCTGGTCTCCTTCCAATCATCATCACTGTCGTCAGTCTCAGAAGAGCCTTCAATTTCGACCTCAATCTCTGGATGTAAACAGCTCTCTGGATCTGAGTCCCTCTCTGGTTCTGCTCCTCCACAGTCCTCTCCAACTCCTGTTTCCATCTGTTCAGTTTGTCTCTGATGAAGCTGTGACGACTGAGGTTTCTCTTCATCATCTTCACTCTTCACAGAGACAGGAGTGAAGGGGAACATGGTGGTATCAGCCTCCTTCAGTCCTTGAAGCTGTTCTTCCTCCTGACTGCTCCACAGTTCCTCATGTTCTTCTTTAATGTGTTGGGGCTTAGTGTCCTCCTGGTCCAGAATGTGGCTCCACTCCTGCTGCTCAGGTGGAAGCTCTTCTTTACCCACCAACAGCTGCTGGACATCTGCAGGACAAAGTGAACAAGAATGAAACATGTTATGGAAACAGCACAAAATGTTTAGGCAATTTTTATAAACTTTTAAGGAAGAGAAGAACAGGTCTGAATTCTCTATCCTCATTGGAGGAGGCCTGAGGTTAACCCACAGGCAGTCAAAGTCCTTAAAAGCAATCACTCCAGCATTGCTCATTCTCTTCAAGTGTTGTCTGCCGACACCAGAGGATTACCTCTCCAACAAGATGGACTCCGGCATACAAGACAAACCCTTTCCTCCTCTTGACTTACATAGGTTAAACTCCAGAGCTGAGGTTGCTCAGTCTAGGTAGCTCTTCACATGCTGAATTCAAGCATCAGAGGATTCAGCTGACTACTTCCACAGCATATTTTTAGGAGTTTTGGGCGCAATCAGATGCTATCAGGTTCGAGCAAAAAGAAGAGTTTCTTTCCTTTGATTTTTCGTAAGACGTCATTGAACTGAAGGAAGCCCACTGATCCCTGAATCCACAAGGACACAAAGACTCCTGCAACCAGTAGACCACAGAGCAGCGCTCTGGTCGAAGATCTGAATCCTGCTACCCTCCTCCTACATCTGCCACGAAGGAAACCTGCCTGAATCTGTTGATTTAACATTCAACGATCTAACCAACTTCACAACGATCACCAGGAGTTACCCCAAGTAAGAGCTTTGATCTGGGCAGAAATAGTTTCGGAAATAGTTATGTTTCTTTTATAACCACTGATAATTATGCATCAGTGTTGACGACATGTCATATTCTGTTTATTATCTGTTGTAAGCTACTGCATTTGTTTTATTGTAATGAACTGCTGTGTTCGCCTATGTATGTAATGCTATGCTAGTTTACCTTCAATTCAACGGCTCCACCATATTGCACTCACACACACACACACACACACACACACACACACACACACACACACACACACACACACACACACACACACACACACACACACACACACACACACACACACACACACACACACACACACACACACACACACACACACACACACACACACACACACACACACACACACACACACACACACACACACACACACACACACACACACACACACACACACACACACACACACACACACACACACACACACACACACACACACACACACACACACACACACTATTTGTTTGATTAAGTTCATTGATGTTGGATTGATGTTGCTTTGTTTAAATAAATTCTGTTATAATTTAAGAGAGCAGTTGGTTGTGATTACTGATGTATTAACATTGTGCAGTGTTTCCCCTACCATTATATCAGGGGGGCAACCCTTGAAGGTCAAGTTTTTTTTTTTTTGATTTTTTTTTGGGGCTTTTTGTGCCTTTATTGTAGAGATAGGATAGTGGATACAGACGGAAATCAGGGAAAGAAGTCATTTAGGATACCTTTCCGATAGAAAAGGACAGCTGTCATTAAAAGTAACTCATGAACACCAAGATTCCTTCAAGTGTTTGTGTCGGCGTGTGTCCCCACCCCCCCACAAAGCTGTAAACCTAGGGGAAACAATTGCCTTCAATTTATTAAATACAGTTATTAATTATTAATATTATTAGTAATTAAGTAACTAATTTGACACTGATTTTAGTAATATTTTGGTTATTTTTCCTTGACTTCAGGGTGGTGCACCCGAGTCAATTAAATGTAGTTTAATAACATTGTTATTTATATGAATATATAATTAAATATAATTATTAATAATATAACCAAATTTGACTAGATAAAACCCCAACAGTCCCCACAACCAGCGCCTGATGCACAGCCACAGTCCGATGGTAGTGGCTGGGTGTAGGCCTGGGCTATATGACAAAAACAATTATCACGATAAAAAATGTAATAATCAGTCGATATCGATAATTATCAATCATTATTTCTTTCAAATTTAAAAGCTGATTTTTGGTCCCAAGTGAAAGTTGATGAAACCAGATGGTTAATTATTCTTTAATTATTCTTTATTGTCAGAACATAACAAATTATAATTAAACATTTCAGCATCATAAGCTCAGTGTATGGAGCTGGAAAACCCTGATAGACAGTTTGCTGCTGGGGAGTCACACTGAGGGTCCACAACATAGACGTTTATATTTGAATTACTGGGGAAACTTGTAGTGGCACTTGACACCAGCAAAGAACGAGCAGAGGAAGACGACGAGGAAAACTTGGGACAAAGAATGCAGATGAAGAGTACACAAGCACAAACGGGGGGGGGGGGGGGTTGGACCGAGGCTCAGTTTTGGTGAGCCTCTTTAGTAGTAGCAGCGCCGCACGAGTGGTCGCATGTTACAGCAGCTCCTGCCCGTAACAGGTTTTTTTTCCTTATTTTTTATTATTCTAGCTCTTTTTACTCTGCTTCTTTTTCGTTTGTTACTTCCATAATCCACTACAACAAGATGGACAAAACTCTTGTTGAGTTTGCGCTGGTATTTCTGCTGTTTTTCACTCTACTGTTTACATCTGGGACCACGGAGGTCTCGTGTAACAGTGACTCTATTGTTTACACCCGCGATCAGCTGTTAGCCCTCCGTAGCACTGCGAAGCTAACCGGCGAAAGACCCAATATTCCCCACGAGCTGAAGAGACGGAGACGGGATTGCCGTGCCAGGGTAAATTCTCCAGTGCTTTCAACACCATACAGCCATGCTTCTGAGGGACAAGCTGGAACACACAGGAGTCGACCTGCACCTCACATCCTGGCTCCTGGACTATCTGGCCAACCGGCCACAGTTGACCGGGTCATCTGCAGCACAGGGGCCCCACAGGGGACCGTCTTGGCTCCCTTCCTTTTCACCCTGTAAACTGCAGACTTCTCCCATAAGACACCTAACTGTCACCTGCAGAAGTTCTCTGATGACTCTGTCATTGTCGGCCTCATCACTGATGGGGACGAGGGGGAGTACAGAGAACTCAACCTGGACTTTGTGGACTGGTGCCAGCGGAACTGCCTCCAAATCAACACGGGTAAAACCAAAGAGCTGGTGGTGGACTTCTGCAGGCGCAGACCAACTTCTCCCACACCGGTGAACATCCAGGGAAAGGACAATGACATTCTTATAAGTACCTGGGTGTTCACCTGAACAATAAGCTGGACTGGACTGTTAACACCCAAGCTCTCTACAAGAAAGGCCAGAGCAGACTTCATCTGCTGAGGAGACTCAGGTCCTTCGGTGTGCAGGGAGCACTCCTGAGGACTTTTATGACTCTGGTGGCATCAGCCATCCTTTACAGAGTCGTCTGCTGGAGCAGCAGCACTACGGCTGCAGACAGGAACAGACTTAACACACTGGTGAAGAAGGCCAGCTCTGTCCTGGGCTGCCCCCTGGACCCTGTTGAGGTGGTGGGAGACAGAAGGATGATGGCAAAGCTGTCATCTCTGATGGAGAATGTTTCCCACCCCCTGCATGGTACTGTAACAGCTCTGGGCAGCTCCTTCAGCGGCAGGCTTCGCCACCCCCGGTGTCTGAAGGAGAGATACCGCAGGTCCTTCCTGCTGCAGTCCGACTGTTCAACCAAGCCTGCTCCCAGTAGATCACAAAACACACACACACAACTGGACAATTCACTCTGACATTGTGCAATAATAATAATGTTATATTAATGTTATATTATGTTTACCAAATCCACTTTGTGCAATAACATTTTACACTTTATGTACACTGTGTGCATGTCTGTGTTACATGGAATATTTCGGACTACATTTTTGTCAAAACTGCAGCTCAGCTGATCTATTTTTTCAAATTCTATATTTTGGTATCTATTTTTTTGTACATTCTTAATTTTTCTTTTTTATTTAAATTGTACTTTGTTTGCAATCTTTGCTGCTGTAACAATGTAAATTTCCCCATTGTGGGATAAATAAAGGATTATCTTATCTTAAAGCCAAAAGGGGCTAACTTGGTTTACAATGGACAAAACAGGACTGGGCTGTGAAATAGTAGGATCACTTGGTCCAGAAAAAACAAAAGGCATGAAACTGGCAAAGGAATGGTAATTAGTCTCAGTGACATTAAAAAAACAACAGAGGGCCTTAAGCAGTCTCTCCAGGATTTTGTGGACTTTTTGGGGGGTTGTTGCGGCCTAAAATGCCTGATTTCACGGCAGCTTTTCAAGAAAAAATTGCAATGCATGTTGCGATGTTTTTAGACTTTTTTTGCAATTAAATTGCGGCAGGAAGCGAAAATTGCAAAAGCCAGTTGTATTTTTTTTTTATGTAAAAAAATCAAGACTTTTTATTCTTAAACTATTTTCTTACACACACTTTGACGTGATTGAGTGATGCCTAGATTTTTAACCTGAGCAGAGGCATTAGCTCTCTCTCTTTCTCTTAGTTAATTATTGTGATCACGACCTGGAGGAAAAAGGCTTAAGGAAAAAGGTTTTGACACAGGAAGACAAAGGCGCATATCACACCATCAAACATTCTGGACAAGGCAAAGGAGGACACATTCACAGATACATTAATCAGTATCAAATCAGACTAAGTGCAAACAAATGACTTTTTGTACAGCTTGTGTGGGCGTGTAGAGGGCCGAACATGGGGCTAATCTACGCGTGCACATTTCCAGGTGGATCGTGATTTATAAAGGGAACATAGCGTGCAGGTGTGCGTACGAACGGTTTTAAAAATCTGAATTATTTTTGGCACACATACATTTTTAGTATGGATTCTACACACTGTTTTATAAATGAGACCCCAGCTTACGGCTTTGAGCATGAAAT